ACCCGCCAGGACCACAGTCTCTTCGGTAGGCGATATGGCCCCCGCGTGTGCGTGTGTGTACGCGCTACCACGCGCGGGTGCGTGTCTGTGCGGGTGCTGGTTTGTGTGTTTGTGTCTGCGTGTAAATGAGTCTCTGTGTATCTGGACGTGAGCAGTCGTGCTCTTGGGAGAGAGGTGTGATACTGGTGATGCTGAGGCAGGTGGATGAGCCCTCAGTACCGGCTTCACCCTTTGGCATTAGCCCATGGGGTCTGCACAAGGGCAAGGTAGCGAGGGAGGGTTGCACATCCCATGAGAGCCAGGAGATGGGCGTGTATGCTTTGCTCAGCCTATGCTGGGATCTATAAGCACATGCATGTGCTTGCAGGTTTAGTGGAGTGGGAAAAGTCGCGAGTCAGGCCGATCCTTTTTCTATTCGCTATAGGTGTCGAGCTTCTTGAGTCTTTGTAGAATAGTATAGGTCACGGACCTGGGCATGCTGATACTTAGGCTGCATCAGACTGCTCTGCTTCTCAGGACGGAGCGTTGAAGCTGAGGAGCCTAAAATGCCTCTTTGCTCAAATGCTTAAAATGTTTCCCAGTCAGGTTTCTCTGTCAATAAACCCAAAAGAGGTGAAGACAACCCTCAAAAGTAAACGTTTCCTGAGATATGAGAGTAAAACCTAAATATTAGTTGTAGAAGCTGGACATCTGAACAAACCTCCTTTTGTCAACTACACGTGACTTTTGGTGTGTATTGACTTAGCAGTCCTAAAAAGGTGATTAAAGAGTTTCCTATCATCCTCCCCATAGTCAAAACAATCTGCTGAAATGGCTCTTAATTGCTTTTATAACACATGGATGTTCTAAGAAGTAGAAAAACGGTAGTCAAACAGATCTTCTCAGAAGGAAGTTTTCCTACAGCTTGTAAACATGAAGTAAATCTTTGCTTTAAAAGGAAAATCAAGTTAGCCCCAGATCTAACATTTACTGGGCTTTTTAGTATTGTACTACCTTTATTCTACTGCTATTCTCAGTAAGTTTGTCTGATCTGGTTTCTTTGTGGGTTGTATCACCTGCTTATTATAGTTTTGGAAAAGGGTGGCTTTGAAAGTGATATCAGAAAGACAAAATACCTCCACCTCCTTTATGGGACTTCTTGCTTTAGCAAGTGAAAAACTAGGATGATTTATGTGTGATAAGAGTTTTTAATGCTTACTCTTTGCAAAGGATTTATTATTTTCTTGTGTTTTTTAATATAACTAAGAAACCTACCAAAGTTGAATTAAAATTCAAAACATTTTAAATTATTGCATAGTCTGGACAGTCCATTTGTCTGAGAGTGAAAATTGTCCTGAAATTGTAAATAGTAAGTAGACAAAAAGTCATAATCAAATGCCTTATTTAAAACTACTTACCTTAGATTCAGATCTTTTTTTAATGTTTTGTGGTTTAATTGCTGAACAGCAAAATCTTAGGCATGATTCTAGCACAACTTCTTTTTGAGGCTTTGTTTACATTGTTAACAACTTCCAAAAAGCCAGTTCACACGTTCCCTTTCTTTCATGTTTTGTATATACTGTAATCTGTGCATATCAATTGGTTAAGTATGTTGGCTTACCCTTGCCAAATTCAGGCTTCAAATAGTACCTCATCTCTCAAATACTTTATTTTATTAATATATATTACATTTTTGGGCAAATGTAATATAAATAATGTTGTAATCCAAACAGTAGCAAAAAAAAAGCAGCACATTTCATATACTTAAAAAGCCTGTACTGAAGACAGCAAGTTGTATCAAGAGGTGTGGGCCCATATGCTAGATAAGATGTTTGGCAAATACTTTTTTTTTTTTCTGTGGGTAGATATGAAATTCCCATCTGTACTTTGATTTCCATTCAAATGATCTAATAATGGATGTGTTTTTTTAAGATAACTCTATAGAAGTAAAGTATGATTTCAGGTAATTCAATCCTATCTTCCAGTGTTTGAATAGGCAGTTTAGCAAATAGTGTACAATCATTCTAGATTCCAACAGCAGAGTACTGATGGCTTTAGCCTTGTGCTGAATAAAATCCTTTCATATTCAACATTAAAAAAAAGTTTCTAAAATAATGTAGGATTCATGTTCCTAGATGAGGTTTCTCGAACTGCTTTCCTGTGAATGTTGAGTGCATTTCCATATAGTGTTTGAAATTTCAGAGAAAGTAGACCACACTTATTATAGTATGTACATTTTCTTGTTTTCAATTGTGTTTTTGGACGGTATGTATGTGTGCTTACGAAATGAATTAAAACAATCCTTTTTTTTTCTTCCAGGTATCCTTGAATTCATCAGTGTGGCAGTGGGACTGGTCAGTATTAGAGGCGTGGACAGTGGCCTTTACCTTGGAATGAATGAGAAAGGAGAACTCTATGGCTCTGTAAGTATCACATCCATGTCAGCTCATACATCTTGAGGTTTTGATTCACTTCTTAACACTATGCAAACTCCTCAAGAAACTAGCATCTCAGCTTTCAAAACACTAACATTTTTTCCTGTTCAAATGTGTAGTATATTTTTGAAGTATACAGTATCTTTGGATACTGAAGATTCGATGGGAAAAGTTTCTCTATCCTAGATGAAGAGAACTGAAAAGAGATATTCCTTTTAAATAATGACAAAAATAGGTAAATTAAATCAGTTATTGGAACAACATTTACATTATGTACTACCTAATTTTATTTTATGAATTCTGTAAATGTATCATAGTGCATACTCTCTCATCAAAAACATAAAATGCAACTGGAAAAAAGTTAGAAGGATAGTTTGAACAAATAAACGACAATTAATATAATACCTGGCTTACTTTATGTATAGTTTAATGCTCCTTTAAAAATCAGCAGGTGGTGCTTCCAGGTACCAAGTTTATAACATGAAAGCATTGTTGCAAATGCTGGGGAAAAGAGCATAATAGCATATGTCACAAAGAAGTACCACTGTTATTTGAAAAATCTGAATGGTGCAAGAGTACTGGCAGTATCTTAGATCCCAACTGGAATATTTGTGTTTAAGAATGAAAATAAGCTTGTACTCATGACAGTTGATTTGCATCTGTTAAATAACTTCAACAAAGTAGATTTTTACAATACTGTCAGTCCTACTCTATTCCTTTCAGGTTTTAAAACATCTTGAGAGAAAATATTCTATTTCTCCACTTTGGTTGTGGTTATTCCAGTTGAAAATGTGAGAAGTGATGCACACCACAAAGAACATATGGAAATACCTTCCTGATATGTTATAGTGCACCCGAGTCCCTCCACCAAATCTCATTTCTAGAACAGTAGTGAGACAGAACTCTACATAATATAGTTCCTGGAAGTCTGATGAATTTTAATTAAATAATAAATAAGTAATGCTTTCTTAAGTGAGTGTTATCTAACTCATGTTTAAATCTAAAATTGTATACTTACAGGTCTAGGTTTCCAAACTTGATGTCAGGTCCACATAATCTCCTTGCATTTGGTTTGTTGACAGTTAAATGAACAGTAAGGCTACACAAAGCCTTAAACATTTTATTTTTATCATATATTTTTTCATGTCTTCAGATATCTAGTGACAGCTTAACTTATTTTTCTTTGCTCTTTCTTCCTGCAGGAGAAACTAACTTCTGAATGCATCTTCAGGGAACAGTTTGAGGAAAACTGGTACAACACTTACTCATCCAATGTGTACAAACATGAAGATTCAGGGCGGCGATACTTTGTAGCACTTAACAAAGATGGTACTCCCAGAGATGGGACAAGGTCCAAAAGACACCAGAAATTCACACATTTCTTGCCCCGGCCTGTGGATCCTGAAAGAGTTCCAGAACTGTATAAAGATGTGTTAGGATACAGCTGAAGAAGGAAGCAGCTTTGGAAAAGACCCAAACTGGAGCTGCTGCCCCTGCTTTCCTGGCAATGCAAGCATGAGGAACCTGCAGAGGTCTAGGATGTTGGATGCAAAGAAGCTACTTTGTGAAGGCAAGCCTGTGTTCTCTAACCTTTGGATTTAGGAGACAAAACCTTAAAGCTGAGAGTGGACCAACCTCCTTGAAACTTGTGATTTGTTTGGTAGCCAGTAACCAGAGGGAAGTGTGACTTTTTTAAAAATAACAAACTCTTGGAAATTTTGTCTGGATTATCTGTGGTCTGTAGATTAGCAAAGAACTGCCTACATCCTATGAATGACACAACGGCAGGAAGAAACAGAAAGAAATGTACTGTAAAATAGTAATAAATCCTGAGAACTGTATATGAAGTTTTACTGGCTCCGCTTTAGTGATGGACGTTAGATGTCAATACATCATAGTCAGAGCTGGGACTTTTCTCCAGGATGGACCTATTTATACATCTCCAGATAGCATATATTTATTTTATATATTTATTTATTAAAGAGTTTATTTTTTACTGGGATATGAAGAGAATACAACCCCTAACCCCAACGAGAAATCATTTACAGTGCCAATATTTACTCTGAATAGAGTCATGATACAGAAGTGACATTACATAGAAAAGCATTCAAAATCTGAACATTCATATTTCATTGCTTATCAGTTACAGATAAGTTTATATTTTATGCACGTACCATTGCCTTGTAACTGTCTTTATTTGGAAAAGAATGTTTAATTTTCTTTACCAATGAAGAGTGCCTTACAGATCTGTATGAAATTCAAATGCACATTTAAAAAGGGAATTAAAAATTATTTCACTTTATTTGGTTTACTGTTATTTTTAAATTGAGAGTCTCTTAGCACACTATGTGTAACATTTCAAACCTGCAAAAATTGTGAAGAATGTATTGCAGTTACCTTGAAAGAAAAAGTAGTATTAGATCTTCAAATCTTGATTCAAATCACAACATTCTTGATAGTTTTTTGCCAAAGGGTTCCTGCTGTTCTCTGTATTACTCAAAATTTTTGTATAGGGTTCTCATCACTATATAAGATGTTTTAATTATATTTCTTATTAATATGCTTAAGGGGAAACAAGTTCAGAGTATGAAGTTTTTGATATTGCTGAATGAAAAGCTTCTGTAAGTGAAGGTTGCTTCTCCACTGAGTACAGAGAAGCATAAGAAGACAACTTCCTTATCTCGATTCCCCATTTAGGGAATACTTTCAGCATAAGTTTTTCTGTGAAAAGTGTCAGGACAAAAATGGGTTGTGTCTCTGTGCTAGTTCCAGGTACACAACAGGTATATTGCACTAATTCAATTCAGAACTGTCAGTTATGAAGCACAAACTCATCTGCATATTAACTGAGGGGAAGGTCTGCTCTCTGCAAGAATACTAAGGGTTAATGACAGACCCTATATGATTTAGACCTAAAGCTGCTGAAGCTTGCTCTCAGATGATTGCCACCTGCATGGACAAGGTTGGCCTAGGAGAAGGACTACAGAAAAGGCAATTCAGGAGAGGGCAACAGTATTTGTACTGTACCAGAGGTCGTCTCACATTTCAGAGCCAATGCTCCCAGTGGGCTCCAGCTCAAGATAACTGTTTCATTCAATTTTATGGAATTGTATATGGTTCAAGTACTGCACATGCATCATTTAAATAAAATTAAGGTATTAATGAAAAACATTTTCCAGTGTATAGCACACTTACTAGAACCATTGCTGTACCAGAACTTCTTCCAATCTGTAGTGAGAAGTGGATGAGCATAGATTACTGACGGACTGTGGACAAATTCATTTTACTCTCTGCCAAATAGAAATGCAATGCAGGTCCGCAAAAGCATGTTTCAGTGCTTTGTGGTTAGCAATATGTAACTTACTAAGGTTAAATATTTCATTTAAATGTTCTGAAAAATAGGAAGATCTACAGTGCATCGAAAATGGCTTAGTAAAATAATGTTGTAATGGACTTCAATTTAACTTAATGATTTTATGGGTGACGCTGAGTCCTGTTAGTAATACATCAATAGCTAAAGACATAGCTAAAGCTATATGCTTTAAATAGAAAAATTTTTCTTCTGTATCTTGAAAAGTAATTTGTTCCATGTAAGTTGTGTAAAAAAGGAGTAGCTGCTGCTCAGGTTATAATTCCCATGAGTTTCTGGCAAACAGTCAGTGTTTAACCATACCAATAAGAGTTATCTTTCCTTGGATCTCCACAATAGTAACTGAGGACAACTTTAAATGGTGAACAATTGGCTGAAACTTCTGGATCCAAACACCTACCCAACATATAGATGAACAAGAGTGATATATGCTTGCCCCATTACCATTTTAGATATATGCAAATAATCCTCGAACAAAATGTAATGGAGCAGGTACTGTGGTGATGAATGACTGTACAAAACCTCCAGACCATTGAAAAGCTGTCATAGCCTCCTTTTTAGTTCTGGTGTATTGCCATTGAAGAAATACCTTGCGTTTTCCTATTTCATTTTGCTTGCAGCATTTATTTGCTCTCTTAAATTTTGTCCATCATGATGTTCAGATGCATTTAACATTTTTCTGGTTTGAAAATGGTGGATGCAAAAGCAACACCTAAAACTATCTCTTTTCACATTTTAATAGACTAATAGCTTTAGTTGTCAGTTGGTTGGGTTTTTTGTGTGTGGTTTTCATTCCCACTGCAGAAAGCCCAACAGGATAGAGGGAGAAGTTTGTTCTGTTTAACCAGTAGAATTAGTGATCTAGTTTAGCACTCATTACATTTTGCATAACTCTATCAATCTGAAAGCTGTGGGCTGCTCTTAATACTGTGAAGAGGGTAATCAGAAGGAGATGACATTATTCAAGGTTCAGAGGAAGTATCTGAAAGCAGAGAAAATGCCACATCTTGAAATAAATCCCTGCATGATTGACTGCCCCATTTCTGCCTTTGCTTTTTTTTTTTCTCCCTAGGGAAGGTGAACCAATCAAGGCAGTTAATACAGTTTGTGTAGCAGTTGCAGCCCCACTTTCTGCTTCCCATGGATTCTCCTATTAGCTGTAAAACTTGGCCTTTTGATCTCTGAGTAGGCTGGAAACTGAGTGCTCCATGCCAGTTCTGTATTTCTTCATATATTTTAGGTTTCGTTGTTCTCTTTTCCAAGTTTTGTCAGAAATAATATACTGGCCCTACAGAATATTTTCTGAAATCCATGAGGAACCTTGACTTCTGAGCTTATTTGGAGTGAAATTGTTACTTCTGTTAAAGCAGAAAATAGAATTCTTAACAGTCTTCTGTGGAAATTTTTCAGTCATAATAGTTACTGGATGTCGGAGAACCCAAATCCTTCTGGAAATGGGTATTTTTTATTAGGTGCACTTATATAATCAGGAAGAGTGGACAGCTAGTCTAAAAGGTGCACAGTCCTTTTATTCGTCTGAACCATTTGTGTTTGCCTAGAGCAGTTTGTTCCTGTCCATATCTTTGTGGTTTCTATCATAAGCTTATTGATATTATCTTTCATACTCAGGTGTAACAGCCTCCTTCACTGCTTCTGTCTGAAAGTCCAAATCACTGGTGTGGCCATGCATTCTGGTAGCACTCCAGGGTTGGGCAGAATTTACTTTCTGGCATGTAAGGGTCATTTAACATATTCATAACAGCTTTCATTTCCAGCTACTTTAATTTCTTGATGTGCTTTGTTAACTCTTTTTTTCATAGCCATCCATTCTAGCTTCAGTAACTCTGTCAAGTTTACCTGAACACAGGCCTTTAGCAGCAGCTATAAGGGCAATGTTTGTGATTTATTTATTCTTATCTGCTTATGTTATCTTAATAGTACTACTGTGCCATGGCTCTAGTTATACCACTGCAAACCATTAGGTTTGCCTTACTCCTTTTTCCGTACAGCAAAGACCTAAACAGAGGTAAGACAATTTCATATACCATAAATGAATCTTTAGTATTGCCTTAGTGTACTGGACCAAGCCTGTGTCAGGTACTGAGAACACTGTGGTAGGATGCTTAAGTTTTTCTTATCTTGCTATATGGAGATGCTATTGGTAAGGAGATCTTTTGCAGATCTTTACTGTATTTGTTCTTTCACTTTTCATATAAGAAAAATGATTCACTTCATAACTGTTCAAATCTCTGCAATTATTTGGTGTTTTTTTTAGTAATGGATCCATTTGAAGATTCAAGTTATATGGACATAACAACAGCTGTGTGAGATAAGACAGTACCACATTTTCTGTGCATTGGGAGGAGAATAAGACAGATGTATATTCTGGGCATTCTCCTCTATCAGTTCTCCTCTGGGCTATTTCCTTTTATGAGGCAGAAAAGAATTATACATTTCACAGTTGAAGAACATGATAGTGGAATTCAGCCATTCCTGGATGTCTACATAAACCTACACTTTATCAGACATTTCTCTCAAAACAATTTCTTTAGCAGTAGTAGTATGTTCACCTTCTGTGGTGGAATTGTTGCTGTTAGGGTACCTAGTGTCAGTGTACATCTGGATGTACATGTGCTTGTCTCAGTACATGGCAATAAATGCATTGCTAGAGAGAGAAGGAGAATGTTCTGAAATTGTTACATACCACGAAATTGGTGATCAGGGACGTTTGGTTTATGGCATTAGTTTTAACTCAGTTTTTGAAACAAAGTTTTGCAGAAGTTTTGACAATCCTGTATGGGTTCTTAACATTCAGAGATTCATAGGCAGAAAACAGAAAGGTGTAGAAGTTTCTCAGGTGGGACATACTTAACCATGACATCTTTATGAATAAGTTGTGCACAAACAACTTACACAAAAAAATCCACACAGGGAAGAGGTCAAACAGTTACTTCTATTACCAGTTGGAGAGATATTAAGTTTCAAACAGAAAGTGTTTGGCAGGTTGCCAAAATAACTGTTTCATCTGCAACGTGATAAGACACTAGAACCATTCTGGAAGTTCAGGAAAAAGAAAAAAATACTGATTTAAAGCAGTGGTGACAGTATCTCTCTGTATTTTAAATATATCAAAAATGCTATTGGTAATGTTCTCTTATTATAGCAAGTCTCTTGTAAATGCAATTCCTGGGGAGAGGAGTAAGAGTGTTAGGCAGTCTTTTGACAGTAAACTTAGTAAAAATCTTCCTGTGGTAAAATCCTGGTTTATATATTTTGTCTAGTTATGGGAAAATTGAATCATATTTTATTCCCACTTAAAATACTATAACCCACATATTACTTTCATGGATGTCTTCAAGTCAGGAGTGTTAATTGATTTACGAATATAACCCAAGTTAAGTAA